GGGGGGGGGGGGGGGGGGGGGGGGGGGGGGGGGGGGGGGGGAGAAATGGGCCTGGGAGGGCAAAACGAGAGAATCAGAACTTCAAAGTCATCCTCAGTTACATTAAGACCATGTCTCAAAAATACAATATAATATAGAAAAGTACAAAATGAAAATGAGAAAGAATTACAAATACAACTCATAACCCAGCATGATGGTGCAGGCCTTTCGTCCCAACATTTGGGAAGCAGAAGCAGGTGGATCTCTCTGAATCTGAAGTCAGTTTGGTCTACATACCAAGTTTCAGGCCAGCCTAGGCTACAGAGAGACGCTGCCTCAAAAAATATACTTGGTCTACAAGAGCTAGTTCAGGAACAGGCACCAAAGCTACAGAGAAACCCTGTCTCGAAAACCCAAAATATATATATTACCCACAAATATAAGTAAAGGACAAATAAAATTACCTTCGCACAGTGAAGATCTTTGTGTTTCTTCAACAGTTTATCAGCTTGCTGAATTGCCATTTTATTATTCCCATTATCAAGATAATCTATTAAAAAAATAAGAGGTATCATAATATTTCACCAGCAAACATGAGAAATACAGTTGCCTTTGAGACTTTAGAAATATCCTGATTTTTTATTTAAAACATCATGGGCCAGGCAGGTGGTATTTGTTTGCACAGGTGGCAGAAGCTCAGACTAGCTTCAAACTCACTAAGTAATCTAGGCTGGCCTTCAACTCATTGGGATCTTCTTACCTCAGACTCCTAAGTACTGAGATTACAGTGCAATACCCCACCTCCACCCTTTTACACCAGTCCCCAGTTTAGGATTGTGAATTGAGTAGTTGAAGCCAGCCTGGGCTACACGCATAGCAAAGCCACCGTTTTGTTGTTGTTGTTTGTTTGTTTTTTTTAAATAGACTTTCTCTTAGACTATTCATCTTTTTTAATCATTTATTTTATGTGCACTGGTGTTTGGCTTGTATGTGTGTCTGTGCGAGGATGTTAGATCCCCTGGAACTTGAGTTACAGGCAGTTGTGAACTGCCATTGGGAAGAACAGCCAGTGCTCTTAACTGCTGAGTCATCTTCCCCAGCCCCTATTTTTGTTTTTTAGATTAGCCATCTTTGATGAGCTCAAACTGTTAGGGTGATTATTTGACAAATAATCAAAGCTGGGGTCAGGACTAAGGGTGTTGAAGAAGCGGCGAGGCTGCGTCCCGGCACCCGGCCGCCCGCACTACTAGCTTTATAATTACACGGAAACTGTATTCTTTTAAACACTGCTTGGCCCATTAGCTCTAGCCCTTACTGGCTAATTCTGATATCCCCATCAACCCATTTCTAATAATGTGTGTAGCCCACAAGGTGGCTTACCAGGGAAGACCTTAACCTGCGTCTGTCTGGAGTGGGAGAATCATGGCAGCTCCCCGACTCAGCTTCTTTCTCCCAGCATTCTGTTCTGTTTACTCCACAAACCTAAGGGTTGGCCTATCAAATGGGCCTAGGCAGTTTCTTTATTAATTAACCAATGAAAGCAACAGATCAGAAAGAAATCACTCCCACATCATAAGGGCATTTCCCTATTGGCTCTGGAAGGTGACAAGGCTCTGACAAGGGGCTCCACCAGGGCTGGGAACATGGTAAGACCATATCTAAACCACAGAACTGCAGCCCACCCCAATGTGGACATTTTTTTTAAAGATTTATTTACTTTGTGTGAATGCTTTGCTAGAATGCAGATACGTGCACAATGTGTGTGTACTTGTTGGATCCCCTCGAATTGTGGTTCCAGATGGTTGTGAGCCATTATGTGGGTTCTGGGAGTTGAACTCAGGTCCTCTGTAAGAAAAACAAATGCTGGGAGGCTGGAGAGATGGCTCAGTGGTTAAGAGCACTGCCTGCTCTTCCAAAGGTCCTGAGTTCAATTCCAGCAACTACATGGTGGCTCACAACCATCTGTAAAGAGATCTGGTGCCCTCTTCTGGCCTTCAGGCACACATGCAGACAGAATACTAAGAATACTGTATACATAAATAAATGAATAAATCTTAAAAAAAGAAAAAAAAAGAAAAACAAGTGCTCTTAACCACCAAACCATCTCTCCAGTTCCTTGACGGTTTCTTCCTGGTAACCATTAGCTACAACACTAGAAATCTGCATCAGAAAGCCATGAGCAACCCCATGGAAAAGCCTGAATATATGGAGTCTAGGGTTATTAGTGACCGCTCTAGAACTTCCACTAAGAAGCTTCACAGGACATAAGCAAGATGAGGATAAAGAAAACTTTACCTTCAGGCTCTGTTCATGTAAGAAAGAAAATCCAAAACAAGAAAAAAGCTGGGGAAAAACTCCCTTTATCCAAGATCCCTTGCAAGTGGGGCTGGAATAATGCCTGCTCAGCACAGGACCAGCATTGTTCCTGCACCAACATGGCAACTCAGTTACCTTTAACTGCCACTCCAGAGCATTCAATAGCCCCTTCTGGCCACTTTGGGCACTACACACATGGGGTATAAACCCACACAAACACGTACATGCACATAAATATACTTTTTTAAAAAATACAAAACTTGGAAGGAAGGAGCCACCTTGATGAAGTCTGTCTGTGGGATGAGGTTAAGGGACTCTCCTGCCTCTAGCCACAACTTAGTAGGGCTTCAAAGCCAACAAGGTCTGCCCTGAAGAACATAATGAGCAAAAGAAAATCAAGTCTGATACCGACAGTGGTGGTATACACCTTTAATCATAGCACTCGGGAGGCAGAGGCAGGAAGACCTGAGAGTTTGAGGCCAGCCTGGTCTACAGAGTGAGTCCTAGGACAGCCAGGGCTACACAGTGAAACCTTAGAGGGGTGAGGCTGGCTTTCAACTTACATTACTGAGTCTCTAAATCACATAGCTCTTGAACAAACAGGTCAGTAAATATGATATCCAAAGTTAGTAAATCTTTAAAAAACTAATTCAAAGGTAATTAATTGTAGTTTGGCTGGGGACTGCTGCTACCCCATAGTAAAAGGAGTCTGACAAATGAGCCTGCAGGAAGCCAGACAGAGGCAAAACATTGAACACATTCAATAATAACTAAAATAATAACACATTTAAAAATCTAACCCTGGGCTGGAGAGATGGCTCAGCAGTTAAGACCATTGCCTGCTCTTCCAAAGGTCCTGAGTTCAATTCCCAGCAACCACATGGTGGCTCACAACCATCTATAATGAGGTCTGGTGCCCTCTTCTGGCCTGCAGGCATACATGTCGGCAGAATATTGTATACATAATAAATAAATAAATATTAAAAAATATAAA